CTAATTAATATTGGTCGGTTCATGTGATTAAAGAAGTTCTTTGTAACTAAGACTCTTTTTAAATTAATTATATTTTCATTTTTATTTATTTGGTAACCACGATATTTACAATAACTTTAATGTCGACTTTTAATGCTGAGAGAATATTAAAATGCCGAATTTTCAATTGATTAGATTATTCCATCTTTAATTTTATTTTGAGTTTTCTATTTTGTTGAAAACAAATAAATTTTTCTTGACTTTTATCCTTTTGAAGCATAATAAAAGAGAAAAACATATTTTTGACTTTTTCATTAATTAGAATTATCTTTATTTTCCCTTAATCTGAACAAGATTGATTATTATTTTGATCTTTCGTTTTTGTTTATAACAATCCAATCAATAACTAAACCATAAAATGAAAAGTAAATTGAAAAATATATAGTATAATATATTTTATTAAAACTCCTTTTCTTATAAAATAAGAATAATATTTATTTCAAAATTTAAAATATGATTAACGTAAAATAAAAAACAAAAGAATATCTTTTGAGAAAGAATTGTCTTAATAGAAGAAGATTATTTGTAGAAATAAATTAAATTTAAATGATTATTCTTTTAGTATTCAAATAGAGTTAAATACTTTATAAGGTAATAAAATGAAATTTAAAAAAAAAAAAACCTAAAAATTAATAATTAAGAAATATAATAAAAAATTAAAAAAAAAAAAAAAATAGAATAAAAGTATAATAAAATATAATAAAATATAATAAATAAATGATAAAAATATATTCAAATAATATCTTTATTAAATAAAAGTTTCTTTAAAAACAAAAAGAATGGATGAATACACACCTGATTTTAATGATCCAAAAGATTTTTATGCCATTCTTGGATTAAAAAATAAATCAAATGAAGAAGATATTAAAAAAGCATATCGTAAATTAGCATTACAATATCATCCTGATAAATCTAAAGAAGAAGATGCAGCTGAAAAATTTCAAAAAATTACTGATGCATATAATTTTTTATCAAATTATAGAAATAAAAGAGTTTATGATTTATTTGGATATACTATTTTTGAATATAAAGAATTAATTTGTCAAATATCATTATGTTTAAATTGTATTTCATGTTGTTCAATTCCATTATTAATAATAATAGTAGGATTATTTGATGTTTGGATTATAATGTTTTTAATTAGATTAGATGTTCCTAAAACATGGTATTTTGCATATATTGAAATACCAATATATATTTATATTTTATTACCTATTTTAACATCTTTATTTGTAGAAGGATTTTTAAATAAAATTCTTTCATTTATAAAATGGGTAAGTTTTTTATAAC